ATCGCCGTTGAATAAGAAATGTTTCTTTCACAAGAAATGTATAAAATTACAGTACTGTATTAGACTTACGGTACCTAATTTACATACTGACAGACGATAGTTAGCGTAAAAATCTCCGTAGCGTGGCGCCACGCTAGACGGCGGAAATTATATATTTAATTATAACAAAGTTACAATAAGTTAATATATAATTATATATACAGTACCTAATTTATATATAATTAATATATAATTATATGTACAGTACCTAATTTATATATAATTTATATAATACTATCCAGACGATAGAAATCTCTCTGTAGCATGGCGCTACGGACGGCGGGAAAGTAGTTCGGCTGCCCGATGACGTTTGAGGTGTTTATAGGGAACTTTTACTATTTTTTACGGATACCGGTAGCAATTTTTTCGTAGTTTTATAGGAATCGTAATTATAGGGACCGTAATTATAGAGGGGTCGACTGTATATTACATACAAATGTACGAACAAATAAAAACCCAGCGAAGCGGGTCCTTGTAGCTAGTTAAAAAAAAATTTGTGGACATATTGAGATTGCTACACATACACAAAACTAAACTGTTACTTAATCTTTTGTGTATACTGTATATATTAATAAAATACCTAGCTTAAATCATTATGAGTGTTTTTTTTATCACATAAAAAATAGAAACAGTAGCTACCAAGCAAACTTTTTGAACATGTAGCAAAGCAAATGGGAAGTAAAGTCTCCTAATATTAAATAAAATATAAAAGCCAATATGTAATAATACAAATATAGTTGTCCCTTGAGTTAGTGGACAAAATACGAAAACCACACAGCGTTTCTGGATATGCAAAATCACTGAACATGGGGGAAAACAGTCTGCGATACTTTACTGCTGAAGATTTTCTGAGCATAAGTTCAACAGTATACTTGCATCTTTGAAATTTTCTGTGCACAGAAAGCATCTGATTTTGGGAGTGCCACCAAACTGGATGTTGAAAATGGAGCTGAAGCAGGAGCATTTCTGAGCAATGATGTTTTATGACTTTAAATCTGGTTTGTCATAATCCCAATGCCTCCACTGTTTGCAAGCAGCATTTCCTTACTCTTATCCATCCAGAACACAAGTGTTCTTCTGGTGGTTAGGAGAATTTAGACATGGCAGAAACAGTCATAAAGATGAAGAAAGAATCAGTCAACCTGAAACTGCAGTGATTCTGGAAAATGTTTCACATTAAGAAACTGCTTAGAGAAGACTTGTATAAAGATATAGAGTACACTTTTGGTATTGGATTGGCAGCAATGAATGATATCTTGCACAATCATCTTCACATCAGGAAGATTGTATCTTGGTGGGTGCCTCATTCTCTAATTAAACAGCAAAAAGAAACTCATGTGGAATGGTGCCACTATATGATGGAAAATTTTCAACAAGGAACTTCAAAATGTGTGGGACATTCACTGGTGACAAGACCTGGATACCAGTATGACTCTGAAAGCAATACACAGTTGACAGTTTGGGTCTTCTCTGATGTAGCACCACCTGTCAAAGTCAAATGTCTAAGAATTGTTGGTCAGAAAATGGTAGCAGTATTCTTTGGAAGACAGGTCATGTTGTCACCATAGCCTTGAGGATCAGAAGACAGTTAATGCTGAGTGGTACATCACCATTACTTTTCCTTGAATCTTTCAAGAAATCTGCAGACAGCACTTTAAAGCAGGTCTTTGTGGATTCTTTCTCTACTATGACAATGCAGCAGTGCATACTGCAGTGAGAACACTGGACTACTTGAGTGACTCCAGAGTGCAATTTGTCACCAATCCACCTTATAGTACAGATTTTGCACCCTGTAATTTCTTTCTGTTTCCCAAAGCCAAGGAAGTCCTCAAGGGATGTCATTTTGGGAGTCTGGAAGAGGCAGTTGCCGTATACGGAGACACCTTGGCAGACATCTCAGAAGAAGACTGGTGTCAGTGCTTCTAGAGCTAGTTCTGCATGCAACAGTCCATCAAGCATCAGGGAGAGTACTTTGAGAAGATATGAGGAGGGACACAAAATAACAATAAACAAGGCTGATGTATCCAGAAACTTTCAGTGTCCTTGTATTTATCCTAAAGGAAAAATTTATAACCTTGTTTTATTTGTGGATAGAACACACTTGAAGTTCAGTCAATGAATCAATGAGTATAAATTACTCAAGTCAGTGTACAATTGACCCCCATATAACACTGTTGATAATTCTGTTTTATATGAATTCCATGTTGTACGAGTCACTTAGATTTTACAAATATGTGTGCCGGGCTGTGAACAGCTCACGTATTGTAAAATCTAAGTGACTCGTACAACATGGAATTCATATAACACGGAATTATCAATAGTGTTATAGGGAGGTCGACTGTATATTATAAAAATAATTTATTCAAACATATACATTATAACATTTTAATACATCCTGTATATTGTAAGTTTGTTATTAATATTTTTAAAACACATTCAATTTAATGGACTTTCATTGATAGCAGACAACTTTTCTTCCAATTACTTTGCTAAATTGAGGGCCTACTGTATGTTTATTAATTGGATATTAAATTTGTGGTAGTTTTTGAATTTTTAAAATTTATTTTACTTCATGTTTTGGCAGTTCTTTAATGTACTTTTATATATATTAAAATGTTAAGCAAAAATATATTTGAGAATCATAGAAGTTGATTGATGATTTTTTTTACCCATTTATTTTTTACTTATTAGAAGACAATGTTGTCCCATGTGGTGATATGGGTGTTTATACCTATGCTCAGTTTAATATTCTGCATTCAGAATATCCGTCTTAGTTTCTTGATGTAATTGCATTTTAAATTTCTTTCGACATTATGTGTCAACTTAACGACACTTATTCACGATCACTAGAAGTTGTGGGTCTTGTTCATAAAGGTAGTTCTCCATTTTTATCAGTTTGTACAAAAGAGCATATGTTTGGCGTCTTGTATTCCTGATAGCGTTTCTGAGGCACAGCTGTCTTAATTTTGGGATTAGCAAATTACATTCCGTGGGTAATCGTATCCGATAAATAGACATTGGAAAGGCATCATTAAGACGGCATTGAGATAGAAAATCAAATTTAGCCTTTGCTTTACATAATTTAAGGGTCAGTTTCTTATACTATTTGGCCGGTGTAGCCATTGGTATACTTATATAACGAACCAACTGGATAAATATACTACAAATAAAACACACACCTTTAATAATGCAGCTAATAAAAATTAATAAAGTAAAAACATTCCAAACAACTAAACAACGGCATCCTACAGTAGACCGTAGACAAAGGATGATTTTAAATTATGTCCCCCTTTTTGAGACAAATACATAAAGAAACGGCTAAGGCTAATGATTTCTGAGTGATATATCGACACAATCCTACAGTTTTCAAGCTATTAAGAAATGATAAGAAGCATTATGACTGGAAATTGGCATCAGGGATCTACTCTATATCATTACATGATCAGCGTTTTAATTCGGATCTTGTCTACGTGGGCACAACAATGCGCAACTTTCAGCAATGTATCAAAGAGCATAAATATACGATTAATAAGAAACTTGACAACACCATGCTATCGGCTTACGCAACACAACATGACATTCGAGTCCATTGGGATCGAGCAGAAATAACTAAACCTACGACAAATTTACATACAATGAAATATCAGGAAAAATTAGAGATCTTTAAGACACACAGGAAAACTACTTGCATCAACCATAGGGATGCGGACTCTTTACCTACTGCATGGCGATCCTTTTACAAGAATTAATGATTTTATTAATTTTAATTTTTGTTAAGGGACATTTTTTCGGCTTAATTTATATTTTTCATTTATTTTATCAGCACAGCTACTTTTCCGTTATTTATATTTTAATTTTGTATTTACGTTCTTTTTTGTGTTTGATTTATTCTATGTTATGGTAACTGAAGAAGATCATTAAGAAACGATCAAAAACATTTTTACTTTATTAATTTTTATTAGCTGGATTATTAAAGATGTGTTTTATTCGTAATATCATAGTTAACAATTACATAAACGGAGAAAACTGTACATAATCAAAATGTACAAATTTATACGTGATTTATGCAGTTTACCTTTTCTTTATTTGATGGTTTAAATTTAATTGGTTACAACTTATGAACAGTTATAATTATAATGATTAACTTTTGATAAATCCTTTCATTTAATATTTAAATAAGTATTTAACCCCTAGTGTGATTAGCTGTACACTTTGGTTTATATGAAAATGTTAGTCATGTCACATATCCTGTTTCATTTTTGTATACAGTATTCATATCAATATGTTATATTATTGTATGTGGCTTCCTCCAAAAAGAATCAGTACTGAAGGGCTGCAGATCATGTTGTTTATTTCCTTTAGGCAGAATTTTAGGTCTGTACATACTCAGTAATCCAGCACTCTTGCTAATCTGGCAGCCCTCTACAAGGAATGATCATATTAGCAACTCTAGTGTATATCATATTTAGATAAAATGCTGAAAACATCAAATAAAAATGTCTGAAAGCTATTGTCTAAAAATGTCTGAAAGTTCAGAAATTCTTTCTGAAAACAAAAGTTCAGTAGAGCATCGATTATCCGAAACAATTTGTGACTGGGGTTGTTCGGATAATCGATTTTCTGGATAACTGATTATGTACGAAAATATATATTAACCTATCCCATATTGAAATTTGTTGAAACACTTTCAGTTAACTGATGTTTTGGTTGNGTTGCTGGAATTTTTTTACGAATTTTGAAATTTTTTTTAAAGTGAAAACTATAAATTAAAAATTAATTGCAGTTAATAATAAGATTAAAAATGTAATTGATTTATAATGGAATACTAACTATAATTGGTATAAATTTTATAGTGTTCCTAGATTGTTATTGTTTGGTATTTTAACCACAGCTGTGAAAAGTCATTAATCCAAATTCCAGTGCTCTTTAGGTTATGAAGGAATTTGAGTCAAAGTAATTTTAAACTGATTCTGTGTGGATTGTTTTACATCTTACTAAATAAATAAATTATCTGTAATAGAATGTTTTACACCATATATGGTACCATTAAGAGTATATGATAATATCTGAAAAATCAGTTATCTGAACAACCCCAGACCTGAATTGTTTCGGATAATTGATGCTCTACTGTATTGATTCAGATCTGATTTAATGTACAATTGATGTTTAATCATTGGAGAGAAAAATATTTTAGAATAATTTAAGATCTGTTTTATGAAAATGGGCTATAAATGTTAGTTTTTATTTTATGATTCTGTTCTTAAACAGAAATAAATTTTCATGAGAGATATTTATTTTTTTTTGTTGGTGTTAACAAAACTTCAGCCTTTACAAAATACTGTTATTAAAATTCAACTCATATTGTTAAAGTATTGTATAATATTTGAAGATTTTAATGATCTAAAGTTGACTTTTATAATGTGTAATATAATTTAAATTAAACAATTAAATAATAAAACTTACAGTAATTAAATTATGTTCAATTGGTGTAAAACAGTTTGGAAACATAGGCTACATAATAAATAATATTTTACTATTTAAATAAGGTATAAAAAGAAACTTATAAGATTTTAAAATATAGGGGAGATCGGGGCAAGATCGGCATGTTAAGCTTTACTTAAATTTTGTGTAATAAATACTGCTGTAAACTGAAAAAAAAGCTTTGCATATTGTCTATTGGAATGTTACCTTACTATAGAACTGGTTAAAATCAGTTTGGAAATAAAAATAATTAAAATAATTACAACTTTACAAGAAGA